TCCTGGCTAATTGTCACTTTAGTTTTCCCCTTAAGCTCTAGAGAAAAAATATATTATTGATAATAGGACATAAAATGTGTAGCTCTTTGAAGAGAAGTTTAAATGACTATTTTGTATGTATGTGGATGTGTATGATGCATTCCATGTTAACATCAAGGGATTTAAGTGACTAGTTTTATTATATAAATAATTTCCATTTAAATATCTTTTAAAGTAAAGTTTGTTTCCATTTCACATAAAAAAAAATCAAAATACTGAAATTCAGTCTATCTTAGCTATCTTTTCTTTGAGAAGTCAACCGTAGTGTCAAGATCAGGAATTCTGGACCTGAGGACCATTAGGTAACAAGAGCTCTACACAGAGTGCTGCCTTGTGAAGAAAAGGAACTTTCTAGAAGTTGCTGTACTCAGCCAGAGAACAGTCTTCCCTAAGCCCTGTGTGATGGTCCAGTTAAAAACAATAGTTTTAGGTAATATTTACTGAATAAATAACTGAAAATAGTCCACATTTCTTTCAAATGTCTGAACTCTTTCATGTTTGAATTTAAAAAATAAATGATTTTATTGTGGACATTGGCTTAAAAAGATCTTGTACTAGATTTACATTTATTCTTTTGTAATGTCACTTTACTGTACCCCCAAGATTTAGGCTATTGTATTTGATATTTTTGCTACAGATGTCATTTCACCTGATTATTTCATTTGGGGCTCCAAAACTACATTGTGAAATACCTTCATTATTTAAATTAGGAACAGGTTAATTGTCTCCAGTGTACAAACTCAAATTAATTTCATTATAAACCTGAGGTTTAAATTGATTAATCTTGTAGGATTTAAGAAACTGAGTAGTTTTCTTCTTCTTCTTTTTTTCATCCTTAAGGAGAAGGTCATATGTGATATGGTGGCTGTTTCTCCGTCATATCAAATATGCCGATAGGAACAAGAAAACTTTAGATGGGTTTTATAAACCAGCGAGAAACCTGTGTGTCTGGGCCTTCTGGGGGAACAATCTGTGAGTCATTTTAAAAAACAAACACACTCATAATCACAGTGCATGTTGTTACCATGGTAATTAGGCCTGTTGAGTTGGCTTGCTTATGTTCCTGTAAAGAGAAGAGGGGGAGAGAAATTGCAAACTCAGAGCTTTGACTATCGGCTCCAGTTTGCCTATTCCAGGAGAGAGCTTAGGGGTTTCTTGAGAACACACTGGCAGTCATCCTGAGAGGGAAGTGAAGAATCTCTGGCATCCTGCCTTTGTTATTGAATACAAGCTAGCTGTATTAGCATTGGGCATTGTAGTTCCCAGGAAAGAAAGGGACCAATTGGCATTCTCTTGGGAGAAGAGCAAAAATAGTCTCTTTTAGCTTATGTATAATTACACATATGTCTCCAAGGTCAACCTGGTGAAGTAAGTGCCTGTTTGCCTGTGCACAGGGCTCTAATGATCCTCTAAAAGGCATCCAATGCCACTGGCGTATTACTGCGGATTTAAGTGATCCTCAGTGTATTACCCTAAGATGGTTAGAGCCTGCTTTTAATGAGGCCTTGCTTCTGATCTGATTCATAAGTAGACCAGTATCTTTTCTTTTCTTTTCTTGACTGGATATGACTCCTTTATCTTGGACAACCATCTTATAGGCCCATGGGTCACCAAGGAGACCAGCGGAATTGTGGGAGTTCTGCCAAATCTGTCATTGCTCCAGGAGAAAACAAAACCAAAGCACACACTTGGCTGATGGATGTCCAAGTGGTCTTGTGCCAATGGGATTTTGTATTCATTGTGATTCTGTATGAAGAATGAACAAGGTCCTTAATTAAAAGTATTAAGGCAAATACAAAACTGATTCTAAAGTTACTTTCACAAATCTAGGTATCCTCTTTTTCTATTATTTTCTCTTTTTTTTATAAAGAGGGTCTCACTCTGTAGTGATCCTCCTGTCTCTGCTGGTATTATAGACTATGCCCAGCTAGGAATCTTCTCTACTATATGATTGTAATATGTTGACTAAAATTTTATTGTTTAGAACATATGTTCAGCAGATTTTAGTTGGAGTTAGAACAACTTTTCCTTATTAAAACTATTTTTTCAAAGGGCTTGAAATAAAGGGAGGTGAGATTGAAGGTTTATACAGTTTCAGAACTTGTGTGCATGTGATTTGTGCCCTGGTGTATAACATAAATACTTCTAGGCTGTAGATTTTATTTTTATTCTCATATTTGGAAAGAAGGTATATATTGCTGAAACTTCATTCAGGGTTTAATTTGCTTAACATTAGTAAACAAAGTTTAACTCATTTTTTTCTGATCATGAATGTGATTCATGATGATTATTGAAATTTGGAAAATACTAAAAATTGTAAAGGAAAAAATGAAAATGACACCATTATTAAGTTAGTTGTTGATTGAACTACATGTAAAGGAGAACTGATTGCACAGGGTGAAGGAAGATAGAGCCTATTTCTTTTTACCATAATAATCCAGAGGTGGGTAGCCCAAGACTGGGAAGGTAGCTTACTCCACAAGATCATGAAGGGGACTAGGGTCCTGTCATGTTCTTCCATCTTTGCTGGCACGTTTCTCCTCCTTTCATGGTGTTAGATGGCCTGCCATAAGTACTACCATGGAAGAAGAGAGTAGGTTTGGGGGTATACCCAGCAATTTCTGCCACTTCCATTACCCTATAAAACAAGGGTAATATACTGTTTATATTTTGATATATTTTCTTTCAGATTTTTTCTTAAAAACATCAGATTATGTACAATGCATAGTAGAAAATATTATGTTTGTGTGTAATATATGTGTGTACATAGTATATACAAAGTATTGTATGTCAGCATATATTTATGATATATTAGAAAATATATATTAAAACATAGAAAATATACATTAGGAAAATATTACATATAGTGGTCCCCCCCTAATCATTAGGGATATGTATCATGACCTCTAGTGGATATCAAAAACTGCAGGTAGTATCAAACCCTGTATATATTATATTTTTCCTCTATATCCATACCCATAAATTAGTTTGTAAATTAGGCACAGTAAGAAATTATCAATTACAATAATAAAATAGAACAATTGAAACAATGTACTGTTGTTAAGTTATGTGAATGTGATATTTCTCTCTCAAAATATTTTTTATGCCATACTTCCCTTTCTTGTGATGGTGTGAGATAATATATAATACCATACCTACATGATGAGATGAATTGAGGTGAAGGATGTTGACATTGTGACACAGTATTAGGCTACCATCTAAAGATTTCTTGAACACAAGCACTGCAATGCATCACAACAGTGGATGTGATAACTAAGACCTCTACTAATTAAGTATACCAAGAGATGGGGAGTATATACGGTGTGGATACGCTGGACAAGGAAATGATTCATGTGCCAGGCAGGATGGACAGAGAGCGTGTGAGATTTCATTGCACCACTCAGAATGGCACACAATTTAAAACTGACAAGTTATTTATTCCTGGAATTTTCCATTTCTGAATATTTTCAGACTGCAAGTAACTGAAACCTAGGAAATGAAAACCTCATGTAAGGGATATATATATATATATATATATATATATATATATATACATATGTATGTACATGTATACACACATATATGAAAACTAGTTGAGGTTATACTACATATTTGTCTCTTCTGCTTAACTATGTCAAGCGAATTTCCCTTATCATTTAGATTTCTTGTATCCGTTGTTTGTTCTGTCACATGGTTTCGTTTTACTCAGTAGTTTGTATTATGGATAATCAGGTTGTTTCTTAACAGTTTGGTAATAATTCTTTGTCTACATTTTTTGTTAAAGTCAGAGTAGTATCTCTAAAACAATGATTGAGAACATGCTAGAGTCTCTTGATAAATCGTGCCAAACTGCTTTGCAGAGCGGCTGTGCCAGTTTACCATATCAGCAATAACATATGCCAGTCCTGGCCTCAGAGCACCATTGAGCAGGCTTATTTTGTAAGTCCCACTTAGTCATTGTTATCCCCAGGGTTCGTTTTCTGAAAATAGGTTGTTTTTTTTGCCCTTGGCTTGTTTTCTTTCCCTTTGCTGTCATTAATCAAAAGATAATGGCTTTTTAATAACTTTGGCTCATTTAAAAACATGACCCCTTACAGTACTCTGGGAATATAGTTGATTGGGTTGAGATTGTAACATATGTGCCAGTCTCAAGCAGTATGAGATCTCTGGAGACGTAGACGTTCATTTGGTCCTAGGACACAATGTGAATTTGATTTGCACCCTTAGTCATGATTTGAGATAGCTCTTTGTTCTGAATCAGAACAAAATCGGAATGGTGAAGTGCTTCCTGAGGTTCTGGCAACTCCCCCTGCGTTGGTCACTCTAGAGAGTTCCAAGAGAAAAGGAGCTCCTCTCTGTAAGAATCTTCTCAGTTATGAATTATAACTTCTCCGTTATAATTAAGCCAGCCCTCCAGCATTCACAGGGGGTGTTAGTGGTGAAGGGAGAAAGGTACCTTTCTACCTCTGGACAGCCTGTAGATGCTAAAGGTAGTTTTTATAACCACTAACTTGTTCCGCTCTACCCTCTTACAGATCCAGATACATACAAACTGCATGTACTCAACTCTGTCCCTAACCCTTATAGCAAAAGTGTGTTCTGTGTCTATGGCCTTGGTCCTGCTGGAAGTCAATCAGGTTAGGTCAAGGGGAAATTGCTTCTTATTCATCCCATGATATACAGCCTCTGTCCCCAAGAACTCTGCTTCACCTGGGCTCCTAAGTGGTCTTTGTAGTTTCATGTTTCCTTGCAAGCTAGTGAATTTCACAAAGAAAGAAGAGTTCACGGAAATGTTCCTAGGCTCCGAAATGTAAACCTGTGAGACTCTCTGCACTTACGATTATCCTGCCATTACCACCAACTCCGGTCACAAAGAGATTCATTTGCTCATTCAGCTCTTATGTATTGTGCTATTTCTCATTTGCTTAAAAAAAATAAATTTTCTTCTGTTTTCTCAACAGCCACATCTGCCAGTTAGCCTCAGGCTTTGGAAACTGAAGAGGTAAGAATTCTGAAATATCTTCTTCTAAGACCTTCTTGAATTTAACCAGAACTTCAGGAGGGTAAATAAAAATATCTTAAGCAGTCCTATAGATGTGAGCATTTAAGCATGTGATTTTTTTTTTTTTTTAGAAAAGAAACATGCAGTCGTTAACAATATTGACATGACTTTGAAATTTAAAGAAAAGAATGGTTCTTTTTAATAATAGTCAAAATTAGATATTCACTCAGAAATTCCCATTATAATCTACAAACCTGAGCTAGAGAACTTTTGAAGTTGCTTCCTTACCAAAACATAGCCCCGTGTCACCAACCATGATTAATGGGTTGCTGTTTTGAGAACATATCCTGTGCAAGCAAAGCCTCAGAATAATTAGATCAGAGAAGGTAAGGCCTGCTCTTTACAGATTGGCTGTAGACTCCGTGAAGGCTTCCTCTGTGGTGGCACCACCAACAACGAAAGGTCAGTCTGATGCTACTCGATTTCTTCTGGAAGAAGCTCATTTGATTTTTGAGACTAGCTAAAGCCATTGGAATTGCTTATAGAGTTGAAAGGTTGCCATAATCCCGAGATAGGAGACAAAGCATCTGCTCCAACCAAGATACACAATTTCTTCAAATCAAAGACTTGGATTTTTTTCCCTCCATTTTGGAGTTTAACTTCATTATGAAAAATTTCAAGCATACCCCAAAGCAGATACAGTGATATAATAAACTCCATGTCCTCATCACCCGGTTTCATCAGTTACCAGTTCAAGGTATTATTTGTTTATAGTCTCACTCGCTCCATTGAATTGAATAGGTTTGGCCATTTAAATTTGATTGTTGGATTTAAAATTTTTCACTTCCATAACTGTTTAATGACCCCAGCAAAATTCTAATAAAAATAAATCCTACTGATGACGTGACTTAATCATTTTTCTGGCGCTAGTCAGTCATTCATTTCTTCATTCCTCAAATATTTATTTAGCATTTACCTCTTCATCCTGAGGATAAAGAAGGCTGTCCTCAACTTACTTTTATGAGGTCCTCAAATTTGAACTTTTGAAGTCTCCAAACGAGGTTATGTGTCAGAGAACACTGACAGAATGAACAAGGGACACTCATTGAACAACTCCAGTGGTCAGATTTAAACATTTAGAACATACCACAGTTTTTGAAGTCTGTGTTTGCCCTTTCTTCACTTTTTAGTATTCCTGGAATATAAAAACACAACACAAGACAAACCTCCTCTCAACCTTCTGATGAATCTTCCTGTTTTATCACGAATGTTCAACTAGCGAGCTGCCTCTTAAGAAAAGCTGAGGGAGCAAGCGTGGTTTCTGACTCGCTAACAATTTTGCCTCCAGCATGTAGCCAGCATGTCTGGCACTTGTTATATATTTAATAAAACTGTTGAATGAATGAACAAAAGAATGAATGCCAGATGTTGAGACTATGCAGATGAAAGCCATGCAGGCCTGCCCCAGTGCTGTCTAATGAAGGAGACACTGGTACAGAAGGAGACCTCTTTGGGTGAGGCACTGGAAGAGGGTGAGATACTAGAGAAGAGGGCTAGCCTGGTGGTAGGGTGCAAAGGCCCATTTGAGGGGTGTATGAAATGCTCTTAATCAGAAAGGAGAGAAAAGCCACTGAGGAATAAGAAATCATGAGGAAGTACACGGAAGCCCCAAAGGGCATGGTGTATTCTGAGAACCTCTAGAAATTTAGAGTGGCCAGGGTGTGGCCAGAAAGTAGACTGTGACTTGAGAAGGAGGTCAGGGAGCTTGGAAAGACTCTGCCACACTGAAGGGTTGGGTCAATATCTGCTGGGTGGGAATCAGAATTTTTCTTTGAAGGGACAATTCTTTATGCAGTAGGGTGAATGGAAGGGAGACTAGTAGAAGTTTGGGGCCTGAAATGATGAGCTGCATTTGGGAAAATGGATGGAATTGCCAATTAAAGTGAGATGCAAAAGGGAGAACAACATCTAGAATAATCCCAGCTTTCTCTTGGGAGACTGAATGGGAAGTAATAACCAGACTACAAGTACAGGAAGAGAAAGATGGGATTCAAATCAGAGGAGTGACTTCATCTGCACGGGTGTGTCCTGTAAGCTCCTTCCTGCTGGGGAGTGTCGTGGATCTCATCACCGCTCCCCAACAGAATCTTCCAGCAGCATGGAAAAAAACACTGCTATGCAGGCCAGACCCAGATTAGTTGAGTCAGAATCTTTAGGTGAGAGGCCTAGAGTTTCCAAAAGCTCCCAGTGTGATTTTAAAGTGTAGCCCTGGTTGGAAATCTGTGGTCCAGAGCTTATTAGAAGAAAAGCCTTTGTGTATGTGTGTGTGTACTTTTAAGACCACATATAATTTCTGATACCCTAAATCTTTGGATTTAAGTACCCAATATCTTTCAGGTAAGGACTGAGACAACCCTGTATTCTACCAAATATTATCATTAAGGGAGACTATCTGATGTTCTTTGATGTTTTTCTTCATTTCCTTCATGCTACTAAGTCTACTGAAAATTTTCAAATCGAGCCAGGTAGTTTCTCAGTGGAGAATTCTCTTATGTTGAGGGGGACAATTATTCATTGCGCTCTTTGCTACTTGTAGCCTTGGGTCATAAATGGCAGTGGCTCCTTCCAGGCACCGTGCCATCCAGAGAGCTCTAGGGAGGTATTGAGAACTACTCTGTCTTAGCACACAACTCTAAAGAGATTAATTAGCATTTCCACTCAAAACACGCCATTTCCAAACATGTTTTTCCTTACACAAAGCTATTGTTCTCAGTTCTGTTGCATGGTTCATTATACAAGTGGTCTCTGGGCTGACAAACTCAAGAAAGAAACTGAACAAAGTAGACAAGTAAAAGAAGTACTGTTTTGTACTGTCAGAGGGATTTTGAGCATATTTGGGCTAGTACTAAATCTATTTTTTTAAGTCTACACAAATAAGCAAATTAAACACTAGGTAAGAAATGGTCAAATATTGAAACTTGAAGCTAAATACTACTAAGATATCATGCAAATAGCACTGCAGCAACGATGAAGAATGTTTTAATTTTCTATTGCTACTGTAACTATTATAAACTTAGTGACTTAAAAACAATACAAATTTATCTCTCAGTTCTGTGGATTCAGTTTTATAAGGAACTCATCTTGGCTAAAAGCAAAGCATCAAGAGGGTGCATTTGCAGAGTGCTGGTGGCTCACGCCTATAATCTTAGCTACTTGGGGGGCTGAGATTGGGAGGATCATGGTTTGAGGCCAGCATGGGCAAATAGTTTGCGAGACCCCCATCGCCAAAATAACCAGACCAAAAAGGCCTGGGGCTGTAGCTGAAGCAGTAGAGTATCTCCTTTGCAAGTGGGAAGCCCTGAGTTCAAACCCAAGTCTTACGAGAGAGAGAGAGAGAGAGAGAGCTGCATTCTGCATTCTTTTTTGGAGGTTCTAGGAGAGAATCCATTTCCTTGTCTTTTATAACTTCTAGAGACTCCCCTTTCCTCCATGTTCAGAGCCAGCATTTCTGTGTGCTTGAACTGTAGTCAAATCTCCCTCTAATTTGTTGTGAAAACCCATATGAGAAGATTGGGCATACCCGAATAAACCAGGATAATCTCATCATAAGGTCCTTAATTTCAAAGTTCCTTTATCCAGGTCAGGTTACCTGTTCACAGGTTCCAGGGATTAGGACATGGACTTATTTGGGGGCTATTATTCTGTGTACGATAAAGTAAAGAGATTAACTGTTCAGAAAGGTAGAAATGCTTCAGGTAGTACAGACAGGATCATGTAACATTTAATTACCCAGGATGGAGAAGGTTTAGGGTTCCCAAGTTAATGAAGCAAGTTCTTGTCTTGGCTCTGCAGTTCCTGCTTTATAGGACCAGGTACTGAAGCTTTTTGGTTTTCTGGGAGTATTTGGCAATGAAGCAAGTAGACAGGTTGAAGTCCAGTGGCCCCTTTCTTGGCTAGACATTGTGGTACTGTTGGTGTGGCCTCTGGAGGGCTTGCTGCTTTTGGCATTCCTCCAACTCTGGAGAGTTTGCCAGAGTGCCCAGGTTCCAAGGTCTTTGAATAGGGCTAAAGAAATGCGAGGTGTATTTTATGCTGTTATGTCTACCTGTCATACTTTGCATTATTTATTAGGCTCTAAAATGTGGAACCTGGGATGATATAAGATTTTAGAATCTCACTGTAATGGTATTTATTATAGCCAAATTTCTAGGTATGATTTAATTTTCTCCATACATTAGGTAAGTCATCCCTGCAGAGTGAGAGATCACGTCTCGCCTGGTAAGCGGAATGGATCACTGGGTTATTTTTTAAAACCATTTTTGCGGCTGGAAATTGTTGGTGGAGATTTTCAGTTTCTCGGCTCTTTTTGTAGCAAGCTCCATTTCTGTTCACTTTTAGAAGATCCAGCAATGCAGATTTAAATTCTAAATCTAGGACTACCACTAGTGCAAAAAACAGTGCTGCTTTGCCTGTAACTAAGGAATTTTCTGGGACTTAGGACTTTCTATACTCTAACTGGGAGGATTCCAGCATATCAGGGGTTTGAATATATACAGGGGTTTTGCAAGTAAACCTTCATGGATACCGAGAGAAGATGATGTGTTGGTCCAAAGCACCTTGAAAAAAACCTCTTACTATTCAGAACTAAGAACCAGCCCAGCAACATTTGTGAAATCACAAAGGTCGATTAAAAAATAGAGCCTGCCCTGTCTGTTCTCCTGTGCTACGCGATGCCCTCCTCATCTGCCTCTGCCTCTGAGGATGGAGGCTTTAATAACGCTGTGACTGAGGTGACCCCAGGACCTCCCTGGGGCTTTGTCAGCCTCTATGGAAGTTATAAAACGCAAATTTGCCTTAGCTGAAATCCTCCTTTCACATAACGGAATTGAACTTTTCCCTTCCTCCTCCCCCAAGACACAGCATAGAGAATTTGGGAAGAGGTCGGTATTAGGAAGATTGTCTGGAATGCCCAAGGGGAGGAGATGGGAGTGGATAACGAC